TGCATGTGAGTAGGAAATTCCTACCACTTATATTTTCTGCGTGACAGCTCTTTATTTCTCATCATACAAATAGTCATTTCCCTGACTTTCCCTATTCATATGTGTGATTTTTAGTTTTCGATTCAGTTGATATCATCCCCATTACCCAGCTCGCCGTTTTGGTTTGTTCCATCGTTGCTTTTAGGCTTTTTGGTTTTTTTTGACTGGGTTGGTATTGTTTTAATCAACTTTATAATCTGCCATACTGAGTGACCTTATCTTTGACCGCTCCTGTTCGCATCGCCGGACCTATTCCTTGGGAACAGGGTTACGTTTTATGTTAGAAATATCCATTACTACTGAGAGACAATTGTTTGTGCGGTTCTTGGCGTTTTATGTTGTAGTGACTTACTTTTATCACGGGAATGCGATTGGTTTAATGAAAACAACTATTATTATTATTATAACCAATTGTACCTGTGCTTGTTTTAATGTGCTTTTGTTTAACTGTGCTAATGACAGACATATTGTACGACCATTACTCTCCATTACTTTTTCCGCGGATTGTGACCTCGTACGTTAGTACCTTTGCCCCCTGATTCCACTTGTACTTCTTTTGGCACGATCTTGGTATTCGTTCGGTACCACGAGATCGTCAACGGAATAATTCTGGTTACGTTCAATCTTCGCCTTCTGATTTGTTTGGCACGCGTTTCCTTGTGGTGGTGCTCATAGTCAGTCTCGACTCGACTTCACGCTACAATATAATTTACCTTTATGGTTTGATTTTATCTGGTTTTGTGACTATCAATTGTCTGTTTATCTCCATCTAAGTTTATTCGGGTATATATACATATCGTTATGTTAAAATTATACCGTTTTGTCTATTTCGCCTAATTACTAAATTCTTGGCCAGCACAAAACGCTAGTCTGGAACTCTAGAAATTATGGCGATAACAGAAGTAGATCAAGGAAACAATAGGTTAGTGACGAGTGATTTGTAATAACGGTCTTCTAATTTATAGAATATAAAAATTATGGTGGATATTAAATTTTGTCATACAAAACAACCCGTAGTCCTAGGCATAGCCCGATGCACTTCTGGAAGGTTAACCCTAATACTAACCTTAGCGAAGACACCCATAAAAAAGAAGTGAAGTATTGCCACTTGAGACACTGATGGTATTTGAAACGACTTTTACAAACAAAAGTAAAGATTTGTTCTTTTCGGTCGCATTGAAAGAGATATAACCGACAAGTGACTAACGTCCTCAGACAAGAAAAGTGAAGTTTGAGTTAAGATTGATGATATCACAGTGGTAGTACGACAAGTGCATTTTTAGTCGGCGTTGATTACCGTATTATTATTGTCTTAAAATAGAAAGTCAGGTAGTTTGGATTGACGGTTTTGTGTTTATAAGTGTTGTAACGTACTTAAAGTTGTATTAAGCAGACGTAATGTACGTACAGAAGCACAACCATGCAGAAAAACAATTGTGATTTCGTCGTACGGGGTTGCTGTTTACTAGGTGGTTAGAGGTTGAAAAACGTATGTGCAGTCGGTAGCAAGGGGTAAAAGTTTTAAAATTGGTGAGGTCTAGACATCTCACACTCTTTAAAGAGTTTTGTGCAGTAAGAGAGTGAACATTATTATGGTTTCATTTTCAAATATGAGGCTTTAAGACGGTCGGTGCTGACGTTATCGTCTGTTCCGTTTTTATCCAAGATATAGTATTTAAATTTCTAACTTGAGACTTTGAAAGATCTTTCGTTGTAAGACAGATCCATCAAAAACATTAGTTGACAGTGGTCGAGTGGAAACATGTTTATTTGAACTCATAGAGTTCGTAAGCCTGCTCGTACAGGAGTTTACATCTGTATGCATGGGAGAAGATGAAGGGTTCATGAATTCTACTGGAAGCCGAAGTGTCGTTTCATAAACAAGTTGAGCTGTGGTGTATCCAATATCAGCTTTCACTACATTTCGGATACCAAGTAAAAGTAGTGAAACGTTTGCAGCTGATAGGGAAGCTTTAAGCTGTCTGTGAAGGCGTTCTAACAACATTTTTGCTTGTGGATGGAAGGCGGTTGTTAGAAATCGCGTTATCCCTAATAGTAAAATTAGACAACGGAGAAGTTCAGATTCGAACTGGTGTCAACTGTCCGTAGTGAAAGTTGATGCGTGTATGGAGATACCAATGGGTGCTTTGATGCAAATTTACTCGCACTGGTCTTAACGACAAGATACTCGAAGCTGAGCATAAGATAATTGAGGAAATTCGCAGTCATCACTTAACGCGGAAAAGGGGTAGGAGATGACGAACACGCAAAAAAAGGATCGACTTGGCATGAGTTGGTCTTTCAGGCGTGGCCATTCCGTTTAACTTATCCCTATTCACATTAAATATATTATTCTACTTTAAGCCTAAATGTGTTCTTAAGGTGTACTGAACATTAAATTGCTGGTCGTTACGTAAGACGAGTTAGTGTAAATGGTCTTATACATTACGTAGTTACATCTAGACAAAGCTACAATTTTTGGGATCAAGTCTATCATTATAACAGTAGAGTAAAAGGTATGGAAACCGAATTAAGCCTTTAATCTACATGCTTTTGCTATAATTTTCTTAGATGTGGAGAATACTTTTTCGCGTTACCATCTGAATTGATGACTTGTACATTTCAGTGAAATTAGTCTATTAAAGGTCTTATGAGAGATGTGCGATTAGGTATATACGATCGATAAAAACGTACCATGCTGTTGAATGCGCGAAATTGCTTGACCGTGATCGGTTCTGGGTAATCCAGATAGGTCACCACTTTGCTTTGCAGAGAGCCACTACTTTGGGCAATATAATGCTCAAAAGTTCAAGGAGTCAGTTCAATATGATATTTTTGAATTTTTACAGCAATGCCATACTTTGGGAGTCATTCGAACTCAAGGCTCAGGTGCTGGAGATTAGATCCTGTTTCCGGATTTTTGACCAAGCGGTCATCAACATCAACCGAAAATCCACAGACTCCGAAGGGACGGATGATAGTTGTTTGAAGATTGTCGTCAGCAGCCACTGGAATTTGACTGTGAATTTTAACCAGGTCGATCTTTGGGGTGATGGTTGTTAATCTCAACGTTGTTGTCAGGCCCTGGATGTATGAAGAGGAGTATAAATCAGGAGGAGTTTTCACTATCCGTCGCCTACAGACACCAGTCGGAGGCCAACAATTGCTCTCTTTTTATGGAACGTGTGCTAGGGAGATACCCAAGGACTGTTTGGACAATTTTCAATTCTATCATCCGCTCGAATTCATTTTAAGGCATTCTTAGATTAAAGGAGCTAGCCAGAGCGCTTTCGAGAATACAGCTGGACCTGTAGTATAATGCAGTCTACAACAATACTGGTTACACACGATAGTTCTGCAAAGTTCAGGGCATTCGCCGAGTATTCGTTGAAAATATGGATCGATTAAATGCCTAACTGTCACTGGTCATAATCTGCAACCGAAAAATAAATTTCGACAAACAAAATTTAAGTCGATGACAATATTTCATCTTTATACCAGTGATCAGCATAGAAACATATTTAATAGCGAAAATTTAGTGAATTAGCTTACGTTAATCTGTAGTGGCATTGGACCGTCACCACACGACCTCCGAAGCCGAGCATATAATTACTGAAAAGATTTGTTTTCAAAATTGTAACGAGGAGAGGATTGAGGGTGAATAGCGCGGGAACATTCAATTCAGTCAAATACCATGGCTCAGCCTTGCAGGCGTGGTCATTCTGTATAACTTTTCTCTTTTATTCATATTAAAGATACTATTCTGTCTCTAGCCTTAATGTGTTCTTTAGAAACAACAGACATTGTGTTGTCGATTGTTACGATACGATGAGTCAGTGAGGACAATGATGTGACTTCCAAGTAATAATATTAATAAAGATGTAGACCATTAATTCCACAAAGTCACGTTGAGATAAACACTTGCCGTATGCTTTGATCGGTTTTCCATGTTTGCCTGTGAGCTGAAGACCGGATCTTGGTGTACAGTTTTTAGCATTCACGGGAAAATCGCTTACTTGTTCTGTAGTTTCAACGAGCTAACGAACTTTCTCCACCACACCAGTGATGTATAGCAGACGACTATTTGCAACGGCTGCGATAAGTCCATCGACCAATGACCTCTCGCATATATAGCACATTTCTGTCGTGAAGCCGCGTTGAAATTCGATACAGTGGAAGAGCTGATCTAACCTTTGTCAATCGGCTGAACCTCTCCGTTTAAGGATGGCTTTTTTTAAAGTATGTTAAGGTTCAAAGACAACACAAGTAAATATACTGTGTGTGACGTACCTGGTAAAATCGTGCGATAGCGCCTTCGCCACTTCGAGAAATTGCGTACTTCGCTCTATCACGCGATGCTCCTGGAAATCAGCTTCTGCACAGAAGAATTAAGCCTCGATATTATCAGGCTAGAATTGGATGAGCTAAAAGGTTGTGGGCAAAAGAGATTTATTCTTCAGCGGTTTGGATGTCATAGTGTGAATCCCTTGAGGAGATGTTTAATATTAATAAATTAAAACCAAGAACATTCATGTATTCTAATTTGTTGAATAACAATATTACTTTAGGAATGACCAACTACTTTTGATCTTAACACAAGCTCACAATGATTTACCAAAGAGGTCACAGCTCATCTGTGTCTTGAAAGTAATGAAAATCAATCTGAACAACCACTTGCATATCCGCAACAAATATATATATATTTAACAAAAACCTTTAGATAAACGCATGACACAAATGTATCTTTGACTTGTGCCTATGATATGTGAAAGTAAGATACGATATATAATATTAGAACATGGCGTACCAGATCACATAAGGCTCAGCTAAATTTTGTCTGGTTAAACTAATCAGATCAGCATCAATGTTGAAGACTTACAGAACTGTTTTTTTGTGAGTATATTTACCATTATACTCAGTAAAACATCACGTATTATATCCTAATGCGTCATTTGTTTTCGTTTGCTTTATATACCTCAGTCTCTACCTCAAAGGATGAATATTCTGTTGCAAATATTCACGGCAGCTGGTTGAGTGGAAGCTTTTTTGTCTACAGTTATTTGAGTCATTTGAATATTGTTCTCAGAAAGCGGCAAATCTGAGCATTGTCGTAACGGCAGAAAATGCTTAGTGTACATAGTGATGTATCAGAGAGTACAAAGGGTATCAGTACTGGGGTGAGTAGAAAGTATGTTACAAAACGAATCTTTTAGACCACACTTTTCGCATGTGAATATGATGGAGGAGTCGTTATTGGAGCTGATTCTAGGACATCATCTGGGTATATATGATAATCTCTATGATTATATTATAGAACGTATGTTGTAAACCGTGTAACAGACAAGCTGACACAGTTGACAAAATCTATATACTGCTGTCGATCTGGGTCTGCTGCTGACACACAAACAGTAGCGGATATGGTCCGCTACCAGCTAGATTTCCATCGCCTAGAAATGAATAGAGAACCAACTGTTTTGGAAGCAGCTGTTTCTTGCAAACATTTTTGCTACAACTACAGAGATGACTTGGTTGCAGGCATCATAGTTGCTGGATGGGATGAAGAATTAGGTGGTCAGGTATTAGCATTGTTACGTTTTCAATGAAGATAGATATACTCCATTCCTCTCGGTGGAATGCTCATAAGACAACCAATTGTTATTGGTGGTTCTGGTAGCACATATACTTATGGGTACGTGGACCACGGTTTTCGCAAGGGAATGACAAGAGAAGAGTGTGTCAGTTTTGTTTTAAAAGGTTAGTTTGTCCGAAGAATTTTTATTTGTAATTTCTCCGCTTTGTAACGGCTAATGATGTGAAAGTTTGTTGTACTTCAACATTTTCAACTGGGTGTTTGAGACGTAATCTCTCCACAGTATAGTCAATAGTCATGTTGCGTTGCATAATGGTAGTAACATATCTAGTAAATGCAAGAATCTCGGCAAATCGAAGTTTACTACCAGACAGTCGTTTTTTATGTGCAAGGGGGAAAGGTTATGCAGACTTAAAGTTGTACTGCAAACATTACACTTTTTAATAATGAAATCAAGTTGCAACACAGCGAAATAAATTGCCAAGATGGATATGAGAGTAGTTGTGTCTGTAAAAGTAAGGAAGACTAAACAGAAAATATGATTCGCGATGAAAGTTGAGTGAGTTAACCATTAGCCCCTAAATGCTGTGGTACGGCCGAGAGTGGAGGGAGTCAGCTCCCCCTCTCTAAATGCTCTCACATGGCCACGCACATACAACCACTGCCAGGGAAGTCCTATTCATTGCCTTCTCGTGGTGGGGGGTGATGTTTTTTACGAAATCGAGGGGACGAAGAGTGAATGTTCGGCGCTTTAACGGGGTTGGTAGACACGGAGAGTTCACCTAGGGAGGTTGGAAAACCCTGATTCCAAACCAATGACGCACATGGACTACAGGGTCTTGATGGAACAAACGGGGCATGAACCAAGCGTTGGTCACCGGCTACCATGGGACTGCATCTCCATATGTTTCTCCACTGCCTTGTGGATTGCACCTTCAGGTCAAAAGCCCCGGGTATGGCTCTATAAGGAAACCACCTGCTTCGCTTTAGGCACCCGGGCAGTATCCCAGCCTTCACACAAATCGGTTGATTTATGTGGCGAATATCTATTTGTACCAATGTCTGTGTGTTTAAATAAATAAATGAGTTAATCATTAATCTTCATCGTTTCAATACTTCGAAAGTCTAAAATATAGCAGCCTGAATGAGACGATTTTCTTTTTCATCTAAATCTTATGTTTTCGGATATCAATGTTTGGATTTGAACGGCAAGTGGTTCCCATTATCTTTCCAACTTACAACTCGTGTATTGAAATGCACGTAATTACCATTTTCTAATACCTTTCTCAGTATCAATGATTTTCTAACTCTTGAAAAACAGTTTGGCTTGATTTTAAGCTATCTGAATGCGATTTAAAGGGTGGAAAGACTAATGCAACTAAATAACAATTAGACCATATTCCCTACTTGTATAGTGTCTTGTAATACTATATCAAATGGCGACTTCTTGATTTCAACAAAGTCCATACTGTGACATGATATTTTGGCTCAATATTCGTTTCATGATTCCTTAGTCAACGTAGTTAAGTGCCGTTTTCTCACCGTCAGGTACCACCATTTTTCTTTATTTTCCGGTGCCTAATTAAGAGTGGAAACGTCCTGAGGTCTCTCAGATATTAGGTATAAATATCCACCCAGGAAAGTTTGTGGACTACTAAGTGTTTGGGCTGTGAGATGTACTATACCAAAGTATTCCTGAAATAAATTGGGTTACTGTTGTATGTTCAGTTATTCGAAGGAATATCTCCCTAAGACTGGCCACATAACTTGTTTAGAAATAGTCCTTTTGAAATTGAGTAATTAAAAACTTTAGCTCATTTTCACAATCAAAAGTCATTGTAGTTAGATTTACTTGTCATTCGAGGAGACCGCAGTCATATCACGCGTTCGATTTCTAATCATAGGAATATAAGCAGTAATAAAATGTGCATATGTATCTTAGTGATGAAACGTCCTCACAAAAAGCGCGATCGGAATGAAGACTTCAAAACCAAAATCCTATCCACTTAATAATTTTAAACATAACTAATACAAAAGTCCTGTTAGGCCGACGTTTTGAAATATCTTTATTTTTATCCAATTCAGGTGTCGCTCTTGCCATTAACAGAGACGGTTCTAGCGGTGGTTGTGTACGCCTGGCTATTATTTCCAAAGACGGTGTGGAAAGAATACTAACAAAAGGTGATGAAGTTCCAGTGTATCGGTTTTCCTGAAATATAAATAAAGTTGTATGAATGTGAGAACACTACTTTTTTTGTATTGCTGTCTTAAATATACTGTCTTTTGTATCTTTCCTCTCATAAGTAGTTATCAGCCTACTATTATAAAAAGAAATATCCTGTAAAACTAAGACCGCCCAACTGACGTATTATATCCGTTTTCAGTCTCCTAAATTATGATAAATGTTTGATTTATAGAGTTGACATCATATCGTGATATATCTCAGTCATATAAATAAGTATTATTCCATATAGTATTCATGATTAGTTGTTTTACTGGTATGCCTGAATTGTATTGAAAAAGAATTCGAACTTGCTGATTAGTTGAGAGTTATATACTCACATTATCAATCCAAAAGTGACATCGAGTATGCTTATCTGATATACAAAGGTCGATCCTATAGAAAGTTATAGAAAGATATTTAGGTTAGATAAGTCAACTTAAAACAAAAACTGACGATTTTCGCTGTTTGTACTAATGTTGAGTGTAAGGGTTTAATGGTAGGGTTTGCCTCTTCACTTTGGCTCAATAATGTCACCAATAATCCCTGCGTATCTATATACTATAATAAAAAAACGGAGTATCTCATAACCATGCGATCTATTTGTGCAATACTTCTACATTTATCAAAAAGACCAACTTGTACAGTTTTGGAAAATCCTTTGTATTCACTTCTTATGCTGTTGGAGAGTTACACATCCAACATCTGCCTTTAGTACATTATTTTCTTCCAATTTCTGTTAACTAAAGACATACCTTTAGATCTCCATATTTAACTGGAATAGTTAAGTCAACTGTTTCGTCAATTCTCACTTGATGGTCGTCACGAATTGAATTTTTTGCTTTTCTGAATCTCGAAATTTCAGGTTGTTTTTCTGAGATAAATTAATAGCAAACAGTTTAGTAAGCACTTTCGAAGGCAAGTACAAACTGGCAAGAGCATTGTAATCATTTTACCAGTATTTCTGTTCATCAGTAACGAGCTCATTTCGCACTGAAAACTAGGCATTTGATACTTCATGTACCACTGGTAGTAATTAATTACTTCCCATTTGTATATAAGTATCTAACACTACAATTTCTTGAATCAACATAAAGGGAGACCAGCTGGTAAATGCTGTGGTAGGGTGTGATTTTTAACTGTCTACAGTGTTTATCCGATAAGATATAGGGTTAACTAAAACCATTTGTATGTCTGTTGATCCAAAATGGGTTAAATGGAAGTTTATGTGATTAAGGCCAAAAAATTATTAATCAGTTGTGAAGAAAATAAAAGTTGCAATGATTTTATTGGTGAAACAATCATGAATTCCCTAAAGTTAAATTTTAAGTAAAGCTATCGTATGAGTTCTGAATAGATTTTAAACATAATGTGTGTGCGAGACCAACGGTTCTGGGTTTGGTCCGTGCGTACAGGGTCTTGGGTGCACACTGATGAGGAGCTCCATACTAGGACTAAATATCCGTTTCGTGATTCCATCTTTCCAGTGGTGGTCTAACTTAGATCAGTTCATGATTTCAATAAAATCCAACAATCTGCACAACCTCATACTGACGTTTCATAAAATTACGAAATTCGGCCCATAATTATTACACTGAGTTTGTTGAATTGCTTTGTTAACAGTGTTGGACATTTTCATATATTAAAAGTAGGTTATGTAAGAATCTAAAGAGTGTAATAAGAAAATTAGAAGTGTTTATGGGATTTGCTATCCTCATAGATATTCTCTACCATGAAAAGTTAAATGCTCGTCTCGACTAGCTGACAAATCTTCGTACTGTTCTAGATCTTGTCAGTTTCGAATGGGACTTACATGTTTGATACTCCATAAAGCCAATACGGTCAGTAAAGATTCATTTCAAAGGAAGCTACTCATTTTCACTTCATTTAGTAATAAGATCAATAATTATTTTAGTCAGGGGTATTTACTACAAAGAAATTGATAGATGAGGAACTAGAAATAGTAGTGAACATAGTGTATGGGTTGAAAAGAATAGACAAATGAAAGAAGACTACTGTATTTATAGTCAGTCATATTGAAATCGAGGTTAGTCTAATTTTGAAGCTTCACACAACCATACTTTCTTATTTTACCAGACGGTTTTCAGTAATGTAAATAAATTTCAGTTGGTAAGTACTTATCAAAAGTGATTTCTCACTGTATTCATAAGTGTACAAAATTAGGAACTTCGGGTAAATGTATAAATGCATATATGTACCTCACTGTTTTTGTTCTAAACAGTTTAGACAAAAGAATCAAATAACATAACCACTTCGATTGAGCATTGTTTGTTGGAAATTCTTACTAAAAAGTCGAATGGATTTCGTAACACTCATAGGTAATGAAATATTATGTTCATACAAAGATTTTTCCTAGTCGTTAATAACGTTATTACGTAAGACGTCTTCTATCACATTTCGACTTGGTATTATGTTCTACTTTTATCCTCTGTTATGTAGTAAGTTCTGGTATTCAGCAGCTATTACTTTAGTTAACAACCATAACTCGGAATTTTAAATGTCATGCATTTATGAATTTCAGATAAATTACCTCGTTTCCGTAGCCCTAAGTGTTGTAGATCACCAACGTATATGATCTGTGTCGAATGATTGGGGACCTATTCGAGTCAGACGGCTAAATGTTGAAGTCAATCCTCACGGTTAATAGATAACGTGGGTTACTCTTTCGTTGTACCCACGTTCTATGGATACCTCGATGACCGTACAACACAAACAATATTATTACAGAATTGTATTAGTAAGAGTAGGTACAAGGAACAGAGTGCGACTACTGCTGCATGGGCCAGTCCAAGGCGTTCAATTATCTGATAACCATTGACTCGACTGTCGGATGATTTACTTAGGGTTTAGTGACATCTCGATTTGTAGACCGAAGCAAAATCTATTTAGCTTCACATCTCATCAAATAACTTGTTAAATAACATAAACTGGGATTTCATTAAACTATGTAATATTCTTATTAAGGTGACATCATAGCGTGCGGAAGATCTTAAAGCAAACGTAACGAATTTCTGACTTGTTTCTAGCCCATCAGAAAACAGATTTTAAAAATGGATGGTTAGCGAGGAAGAATGCAATACTGCAAATGGTAAATAGGTTTTGCCCAGTTAATTGGTCTATTTATGTTTCCTACAGGTTATTCTGCATGTAAATCCAAACAACAATATATCAGCTCTTCCTAATGGATATAGTGTGTCCGCATTTCCGAACGATTTAAAGAAAAACAAATAGAAAGCGTTATGTTTGTGATAAGAAATGTCATTAGGTTCGTCATATTTTTATTCCAAATCTAATTAGTTTCTCAAAATTGTAGAACATTGTATGACTGAATTTCGGAAATTCAAACTCGGAAGCCTATCTTAGTAAGTTAATTCACTACTTGTTTATTTAGAAAGTTATGGTTATAAGAGCGCGAGTGTTAAGAAAGTTGTCAGTTTTATAACTCCTACGGATTTTCGTTATATACACAATAACTGGAGTTTTGTATTCCTGTATTGCTTGTATTATTAGCTTTTATCAGACGCCTCAACTGTCACTCTATACTCTACTATTCCGTAACCATTGGAAATTTATTATCCACCCTCCGTTCCATTCTGTACCACTTTCGTCTTAATCGTATATAAAAACAATCCCTATTTGATGTGTTATTATCTGACAATTCATGTGTGAAAATTCATGAATTTCTGAGTTAGGATGACTTACGGGACCATAGAGAAAATATCTGCTTGCTAACTTCGCCTTCTGATTATACACTGGGTTGGGAGGACCACGAAGACCAATAGGCGTTAAGATCTAGGTCGTTTTTCCTCGGTTACTGTGTTATTAGTACAGCAGAAAATCATCGATCTTATAGGCGATATAAGCGAAACACTCAGTAAGTGAACGTGATAATTATCTGGCTTTATATTAGGTAACCTAGCCACATGGGATTAAAATAAGAAAGTCATTTTTTGTGATTTGCAGGTTATATTTCTAAATAGTAAGGTTTGAGTAAATAGAATACTGTCTTCATTTGCTTAATTATATTGGGAGTCTAATTGCAATAACAGGCAGTTTTATTGATATTAGGTTAAGTGGGACAGATATGCTTAGTGTGGAACAACGTGATATTTTTTACAATTTTGTCTTAATCGATTCTCACGATCAAACTTAAGGCAGTAAAGTAAATATTGAATCAATAACATCCAGAATAAATAAAAAAATACTTTGATCCATTAGAGTTTAGAAATGATAAATTGGAAATTCTGTGCCTGATACCGATATTTCAATATAATTTTTATATCCAGACTTCCTTTACTAAGTTATTTGAAAGTGCCTTATCCTGTGACGTGCACCACTTATTTGGAAAAACATTAGTATGTAGCAGAAATTCGAAGTAGAATGCTTACCATCAGAAGAGTAAAATAAAGAGAGGAGGTATGAAAACAAAGAGCAATCGGAATAAGAACGGGATCGGAAGAATGATGAAGTATGTAAAGGACACCTGATAGAACATATGTGAGTGGTGTATTTGATGTACGATTTTCATGATTTACAAAGGCACTGTGTGATTTTTCATAAAACAGTTAATTAGTTTACCGTACTTGAGTTTGAGTTCACTACAATTCTAATCCACAAATTAAGCACCTAGCAGGAGGGATCGATTTGGTCTAAAAGCTTTTTGCTAACTGATATACGTTAGACTGTAGAGCGGTCACAAAAGTTGGAACTTTTCCCAACTATCGCCATTATTTCCATGTATTAATACTCTGTAAGTAATGCAAGCGAATTATTCATTTTGTTTATCTACCAGTTTAAACATAAATGTTTTGCGACATGTTATGTTACTGAATAGTAAACTAGTAGTTTGACTTTTCTTTGATCATTTAAAAGTTTCCAAAGTTGTGTATAATAGAATTTTATTAGGCTCTGTTAAACATACACTAGGAAACGTATGCCATGCTGAAAATTCGGCAGAATCACTTTAATTTTATTATGAAAGTATCCATTAACTCGTTTAAATTACAAACGATCATATAATTAGGTAACAATAATTTTTTTGTCCTGCCAGATACCAC